GGCACGAGCCACATGCCGGCTGATTTTTATATTATATATTAGTTGGCCAATTAATTTCTTTCTATTTTTATGGTAGAGACGGGGTCTCGCTCAGGCTGGTTTTGAACTCCTGACCTTGAGCAATCCGCCCGCCTCGGCCTCCCAGAGTGCTAGGATTACAGGCGTGAGCCACCACGCCCGGCCTGAATGATTCTTTTTTTTTTTTTTCTTTTTTTTTAATAATTTATTTTTTCTTTCTTTTCATTTATTATTTTTTTTCTTTTTTTCCTCAGGCCATCTGTTTGGTATGAATGATTCTTAAATAATGGTTCTTGGCCTAGAACTAGGCTAGCTGCATAAGAATCAAATTAAAGACATTTGTTAAAAATCTAATACTAATTTCCAGGTCCCACCTCAGACCTCTCAGAATCTCAGGGGCAGGGGGCCCAAGGGATCTGTATTTTAACAAGCACATCAAGTGAATCTGATGCCCAGCCAGGTTTGAAAACCACTGCTACAAATTCTTAATGACTGGAGTTATCCCACTCTTAATGTGGTATATCCTTATCTACCCAAGTTCTGGCCCACCAGGCAGACCAACACGTGTCAAACAGCAGGATTACAGATATATTGCCAATTCTCTGTCTGACTTCTCTTTTTCCTAACCTCCATCTAGATTGCCCCTCCCATCCTCCCATCCCCTAAACTTCTGAAAGCAGGTAGGACAGATATAATACAATTGACTAAATACCCTTTTCTGAATTAAAAACCACCTTTTTGTTACACTTCTCAGACTGACTAGTTACTGTGACTGGATCTGATTTTGCCCAAATTGCCTAAACTTGAATTTACAGCAATGTCTTGTGATAGCAATATCACTTAATTCTTTGAACTTATCTGCCAAAAACCACATTGTGATTGTAGTAAAAAAATTATTAAATGACCAGCTGACTGACAGCCTGATTAGGTCTTTTTAAAAATTTATTGGAAGCAAAGATTGGGACGTGTGTTATCAAAGGTTCAAGAAACTCATTTCTTCAACAAATTATCCCTTTGTATGGCATTCAAGAGGTTTTTCCAGCCCAGAGTGATGCACTATAGTAAAATCAAGTAAAATAAGTAAAAATTGAGAAGGCATTGGTGAGAGGTATGTCTTTCTTTATAAAGGAGGAAAAGAGCAATTGTGGAAGAAGAGGTGAGAAGAGAGAAACCTATAAACCACACCCATTCTCAAGCACATTAGTCATAGGCAAAGAAATAATTTGAAGTCAAAGATCTAGAAATTGATTTCCATTCAACAATCTGTCTATAGACTTTACATAAGGCAAGTGTGTACCCTCTTTCACATATTCTGTTTGAAGACTACTGCACTACAGTATTCTGGGCAGAAAGTGGACAAGCAAAGCCTCAGAGGCCAGGAAACACAGGAAGAGTAAGAAAAACAGAGAGAACATTGAAACTTCAATGTACACTGTACAAGATTGAGATGGATATGGAAGGAGAGAAAATACATGAAAATGCACTGACATTTTGAGGTGGAGAGTAATGATGAGCGCTTACTATGTGCTAAGCAATTTATAGATATTACCTTGTTTGACCCTCACAACCTCCTTATGAGACAAGCATGCTGGAAACCAACAGTATGAGGAGGAGTCAATCACCACGGTCTCCTGACTTTCTCCAGTGATGCTTCTGGCAGCCTGGGAACCCTGGGAGATGTGCGTGGTGGAAGACTGAGGTAGTGAGGGACTTGGAATGTTAGCCAAGAGATGGCTGATATAACTAAGATGGGATCCAAATGAACGGGGCAGGGAGAAGTGGGATGCTAACAGATGGAGGTTACAGAGAGGGTAAAGAATATGGTGAGCACACAGAACCAAGGGAAGGGATCCTGGAAATTGGGGTGAGATTTTATTTTGAAATGTCAAATTTTTAATACATCAAAAATAACATCCCTTTGAAACTATTAAAATGTATAAAGAGAAACGGAAACATTTTTGTATGTCTTACAATTTTAAGAGGACACGAAGCTTCCAAAATTATTTTAAGGGGTATTCAAGCAAAACGTCTGCAGTGGCCTCACTCTTTGCCAGAAATCTAACCTCATCCAAGAGCTCCAGGAGTACATCCCAATTGAGTTAACCCAGTCAAATAAATACTATACCCCTTGCAAGTGACTGACTGAAAAACAGCTGGAATTGAGAAATCCCTGGTTCAGAAATGGACACATGCCTTCATCTGGGTCAATATTTTGAGGAAGTTTGCTGGGAGCTTCTGGGAATAGTTTCCTGCCATCCTGAGAAAACCACGAGACTTCTATATAGTGTTGCCTGGACTTGCTGCTGCCATTTTACTACCAGTTTGTGGATGAAGGCAGGTAAAGCTGAGAAAATCAAGGGGAAATGGAGCCCAGAGCCACTGGATTAATTCAGTCCTGAAACAGCTATACCTCTTAACTTCTAATTATGAGAGCTTACATACTTGCATATTTTTAAGCCAGCTTGAGTTGGATTCTGTTACCTACAGATAAAAGGTTTTTTCTTTGTTTGTTTGTTTTTTTAAAGACAGGGTCCCACTATATCCAGGCTGGTGGTCTCAAACTGCTGGCCTTGATCAATCCTCCCACCTCAGCCTCCTGAGTAGCTGGGACTACAGGCTCCAGCCACAGAGCCACCACACCTGGCTAGACAAAAGCATCTTAACTCATGATTTCTCTTAAAATTCTAAAAGGCCAAATCCTACAAAATTCCCATTATCTAGTACAAGGACCACCTCCTCCCCCAAAGTCTTTACTAACATCTGCACGAAAGAGGTTCTCTGAACCAGCATTTCACTGGCCTTTTTCTCACCTCTTTCTTTATACTATAGTCATCATGTCACTTCTTGTTTATTGCTCCCCAAGGCCTACAGAATAAAAACTTCTTCACATATCTCATATGTACTCATGATGAGGCCTGTTTCCCTTCCCCATGTCCTATCCCACACTCTCCATTAACTATTGGAAGCTGCAGTCACCCTCAGTGTCCTACAATTCAAACACTTCCTATTCTTTAAAGCTTCTTTGTCTTTGAGTCATTCCCACTTCCTGAAATACTATTGCCCACCTTGTGCATTCAACAAACATCTCTGCTCCAACCTGGGCAATCCCCTCCATTTTCTTCCCTGACCTCTGGGCCCTAAGACAGATAGATATTCATCTTATAGCAGTTACCCCACCGTATTGTTAGTCATGTCTGTTTTCTTCTCTAGAACGTGAACAAGGATGACGTTCTATTACTCTTGGTATTCCCAGTGCCTAGCAGATTTTAAATACCTGGCAAACATTAAGTGAATTTTGTAACTCTCTTATCTACATAATGATCTTCGGTACTGTTGAGGGCTAAATGGATATTTCATTCACCTTTTTATCTAAAGACCCTGGGACAGCATCGAAAATGGCAGCGCTGTATGTATCCAGCATTACCAGAAGAGGCTTCATGTGGATAGTCTCGGGGGCACCACGCAGAGAGTTTTGGTCTTGATCCAGAAAGGAGAAAGAGCCAGTGGTAGCTGAGATAGTAGAAGAGGTGAAAAAGGAACCTATCCTGGTGTGTCCACCCTTAGGAAGCCGAATATACATACCACCTGAAGATCTCCAGAGTCATTTGGAATCTTATGATAAAGAAGTTTTGGGTTCAACTCTTCCTAGTAATTGGCAAGATATCTCCCTGGAAGATGGTTGTCTGAAGTTCAATCTCTTAGCACATTTAGCTGATGACTTGGGCCATGTAGTCCCTAACTCCAGGCGACACCAGATGTGCAGGGTCAGAGATGTTCTTGATTTCTATAATCCCCCTGTTCAAGATAGATCTAAATTTGATGAACTTAATGCCAGTAATCTGCCTCCTAATTTGAAAATCACTTGGAGTTATTGAGCAGAAGGGGAGCACATTGAAATCATTTTTTCCCTTGAGGAAGGAGGCTGCTTATTAGACCTGTTGGTATATAAAATGCCAGAACTGTTCTCTACACCACTTTTTCTGTAGAAGAATACATCATCTCTTTTTTTTTTGTCTCATATCATGAATCAACAAAGAAATAACAGGATTTTCTATCTTCACATTTGCTGAAGCCATTTTTTAAATGGAATCGAGTCATTAATAATTTACGAAAAATTTCTTCTTGAGAAAACACTGAAATTAACTTGAGCTTAATACAGGAGAACATTACAAGTTCAGACCCTTCATAGGCATAAAGTAGTAGTTGCATGAAAATGTTTTAATTCTGTTAGGACTCTAAAATCCAAGATAGAATTATTATATATAGCACATATACAATTAAAGAAACTTGTATTAGATTAAGTATTATAAGAGAAACATAAACTCTGTATTGTATATATATGGATTAATTTCTTTTAGAATTAAAGTAGATTTATTAAAAAAAAAAAAAAAAAAAAGACCCTGGAACAGCGTCTGACACATAGCTGGTGTCAATAACCATTTGTAAAAATAAGTTCCTTGTCCCAACCTGGATGAAATTTAATTTAAGGCACTGTTATCCACCTTTCCTCTGTCCTCTTTCTAGTACCCATAATCAAGAGGGTTCTATTAACTCTGGGGCTTAAATCTGTCTCCTTTCCATAACTAGCCCTTATAAGCTAGTCAGCCAGCACAGGAGACTTAAGCTTTTGCCACTACTGGCCATTTTGTCCCAGTGGTTTCCTTGGGGGGTGGAATGTCTGAGAAAAGCCACTGCTCCCATCGGTCCCCACGTCTGGACCACAGGGATGTCCCTGCTTCTCCTACCCTCACGATTGACAGGCACTGAACCAGAGCTGGGACGGTCCCTGGCAGTGTCCAGGCCCCACACTGTGTACAGGAGGGGACATGAAGGCCCGAGGGGGCCATGAAGTCCAAGGTCACACAGCGAACCCGGGTCATGAACGGGCCTAACTAAACGTGGGGTTTCCGCACGGATCGCGGACCAGGGAGTTGGGAGCCCAACGCCCTCCTCCCCCTCTCTGTGACGGAATGAGGTCTCACCGCAGGCCGCTACCGCCCCACGCTCACTCCGCCTGGGCTCCCGGCGCTACTGGGCCGCTCGCACCGAACCGGCCAGCTGTTGTCTCGGTGTCACGGGCGACGGGCATCGGCCACTTCCGGTACCCGGGCCGCAATCCAGCCAATCAGCGCACGCCGTACTCCGCAAGAGAAACATGTGGTCAGCGCGCCAACGCCTCCTCGCCTTTTCCAGCTTTGCTTTTCGCCGGCTCTCGACTTAACAAAAGCCCCGCCAAGCCGCCGACTGTTTAGGCGGCTCCCTGGTTGGCCCTGAGTACTGGGCGATGCCCACTTCAGCTCCAGGATCAGTGACGATCTGGGTCCTCCAGCTTTCCTAGAACGGCTCCAGGAATGAACTTCCGCCCCGTAACCGGCCGCTCTGCGCGCTGGTGTCGCTTCCCAGTCATTGCTCTGGAGAAGTTGGGAATCCTCTTTGCCTTCTTGCGGAGACAGCTTGGGCGACCCATTTAACGCTCCCTACTTACATCCCTCTTATTCTTTAACTCCCTTTCCCCAGCTCCGTGAGTCTGATAAACACAGGCTCCTAGATCCTAGGACCTAACCGGTCATCGGCGGTGGCGAAGGGAGATTTGCTCTGAGTTCAGGGAGGGCTTGAGGGGGAGTGATGTTTGGGCTGAAACCTGAAGGTTGAGCGGGAATTACCTAGGTTACGAGTATAAAGGAGAGCGGTTCAAGCAATGGGAACAGCATTCTGCGTTAGCCTTACATCCCCTGAGCAAGCTTGGCCCGTTCTCGCCTCGGATTCTTTGTACTTATTACTTCCTCTAACTTTGCACAAGCTTCTTGTTTTTAGGTCTCAGTTCAAAAATCACTACGTTGAAGTAGGATTCCATCCTACCTAATGTTGCCTCAAATTACACTAACCATCCCAAACGTGAGTTACAGGGAAGGACTAGGATTGACCCTGTTTGGGGCAGTTGCTCACCCCTGCACCAATTAGGGGGAAAGGGATAGTATAATTAGCGAAGCCTGGGTCACCATTATCCTGTAAAATAAAGGAGCGACTGTCCTCAGGAAGGGATATTGTGTTTATATCCAGTACACAACCTAGCAGAAAGGAAAACTTTCTCTTGAGTTCATCATTGAGATTAGGCCCTAGACTTTAAGGTCCTTCACTTTAACCACTCTCACACCAATATCCTTCACTCCTTTGTCCTACTACATGCAACTGCCTGGGACGTTTGTTAACCCTGATTCAGTCAGAATTTCTGTGTTCCTTCGCAGGGCTACTAACAGTGAATGGGAAAACTCATACATTTTAGAGAAGAGCCCTGAGATAATTTTATGATCTCTGCTTATCAGAGGTCTCTGACTTGTGCCCAGAAATCATTTTCCGTTTTCCTAGTCAGTTTCTTTACCATTTTCCACTGTTGCCATTTCAACCTTCTTCACTCTGACAAATCTTTCTCCCAGCCATGATCCAAAAGGTGTCAATTTCCATCACAGTCATTGCCAGCTACATTTATCACAAGGAAAGATAGCCAGACTACAAAAGTATCCTGCCTCAGAACCAAGAGCGCAAGACTTTTGGTTCTACTGACTTTTACCTAGAACACCTGCATTAATGGGCATCTGCCTCATCAGCATAAATCAGTGATTCTCAGCTTTGGCTGCAAGTTGGAATCACCTGGGAATCTTTAAAACTATTGATGTCTGCTGCCATTAACATAGATTCTGTTGAAATTGATCTTAGATATGATCTGGGCATGGGTTTTGGTTGGTTGGTTGGTTGGTTGGTTTTGAGACAGAATCTCACTCTGTCGCCTGGGCTAGAGTGCCATAGTGTCAGCCTAGCTCACAGCAACCTCAAACTCCTGGGCTCAAGCAATCCTCCTGCCTCAGCCTCCTGAGGAGCTGGGACTACAGGTGCACGCCACCACGCCTGGCTAATTTTTTTCTACTTTTAGTAGAGACGGGGGTCTCACTCTCGCTCAGGCTGGTCTTAAATTCCTGACCTCAAGCGATTCTCCCACCTCGGCCTCCCAGAGTGCTAGAATTAGAGGCATGAGCCACCACACTTGGTCTGTTTTGTTTTGTTTTAACTTTCCAGGTAATTTTAACCTATAGCCAAAGTTAAAAAACAATCGCATAGGTCAGTGGTTCTCAAAATGTGGTCTATGAACTAGCAGCATTAGCATCACCTAGGAACTGGTTAGAAATGAAAATTCTCAGGCCCCACAGATCTCCTAAATCTGAAACTCTGGAGTTGATGCTCAGCAATCTGTGTAACAATCCCTTTGGGGCTCGGATGCACATTAAAGTTTGGAAATCATTCGCCGCAGCATTGGCAGTGTTTCATTTGATCAGCCCTCATATGTGGGTTAGAAGTGAAAAGAATAAGTTGTCTCCTCCCAGCTACTCCCTTGCCCACCATCTGCTTGATTACACTAGCACCTTAGGTGCCATCTGGAGCAATGGGAAGCTACTGAGGGAAGGAGACCAGGACATATGATCCATAAATACTATTCCCATTTTATATGTATATGAGGATGTGTAAGGGCAGAAGCTCATGTTTCAAGGTCTACAGACAGGCTCAGGACTTCTATAGAATCAAGTTTATTGGTAATCATGAGCAGTTATGTTCCTCCTGAAAAAAAAATGGTAGGTAGGAATCTTTTTTTTTTATGTATTTATTTCACCCTCCTGAATTCATATAGGGACAGGTACATGGAAAATAAAGGACATATTGCTCTTATTACCCCTTGTCTCTTCTATCTGTGGAAGATGTGAGAAGGAGAACTGCAAGCACTGGCTGCACTCCCTTCTAATACTTCAAACCATATCATCTTTCAAATTAGTTTACAACTCTGATTTGGGCCTAGTGCTATTCATAATCATATTTTCAGTTATCTATGGACCACATTCCAAGTATTACTGAACTATGAGTATCTGTAATCAGTGTCGTCTCAGACTTAAATAGCACTGTAAGTGTAAGATACTGTTAGGATTCTGGAAGAAATGACCAAAAGGTTTGCACCCACCTTGCTAAAGCTGAATCAAGGCTCAATTAGGCCCTCAGTGTTCGCGCTCACCCCTCTAGCCATGAAGATGTAAGAAGGTAAAGCAAAAGGGCAACTTATTATACAGATGGTTCCCAACTTAACAATGGTTGAACTTGGGATTTTTCGACCTTATGATGTTGCAAAAGCATTCAGTAGAAACCATACTTTAAAGTTTGATCTTTTTCGAGACTAGTGAAATGCAGAGCGATACTCTTTCAAGATGCAAAGTGATCATGTGGATAAACAATTGATACTATACAGTGTACTGCGTTGCCAGATGATTTTGCCCAACTGTAGGCTGATATAAGTGTCTGATCATGTTTAAAGTAGGCTAGGCTAAGCTATGAGGTTTGGTAGTTTAGATGTATTAAATGCATTTTTTACTTAAGATGTTTTCAACTTATGATGGGTTTATCGGGACATGGTTCCATCATAACTCAAAGAGCATCTGTACCAAGGAAGCCAGAGCAACCAATTCTGAGCCTGACCCAGCAAGGTCATGTTTTTACTGTGCTTGAATGGTAGATCCTTCTTGGGCAAATTCTCTAAGCCTAAGAGGTACACTCTGGGGTCCTGTAAGGTTCCATGTCTCTCTTAAGTGAAATCACCTACCTGTTTCCCATGGGGTAAAATGCAGCAACATCCAGAAACCTTAGCTTCCCAATAACTGTTTCATGGTTTGGTGCCATGTAAGGAGTGACAGAGTAGAGAAGGCTGCCCTCGTAGAGGAGTCAGTGCTGGGTTTCAAGAAGGTGAACTGGAAGTAGTGGTGGGAGCGCTGCACTGGAACTAGGGCCACAGCTGAGTGTACAAAGGAGCAAGTAATCAGAGGACAAAGCAGAAGAAAACTCTACCCCAGTATGTGAGGCTCATCGCCAGAGCTGTGGAGTCTTCACAAGGTCAGCAAAATATTCAGCGCAATTGCCACCACTGGTAAGACACCACTGAGACAGACATAATAATGCTCTTGCCCATTTATCCAATCCCTGAATGTGCCTTAAAGCCCGACACAGGACAACAGGCAGCTGCTACTAATTAGTCTGAATTCACATATGACTGACATGATTTACCATGCTGGGACCAAGGCGGTCCTACATGAATATTTCTGAGGCTCTTTTTTGAGAAAATAACTTGGGAGGAAAATCGAGTTCCGTTGTCTCCAACATCTAGGGACACATAAGCTCCCAATGTGACTGGAGAAGCTTAAGGCTGCCAGAACAACTCATAATTCTATTCTTTAAAATTTATTTTCAATTAACAAAAGTTGTATATATTTGTCATGTACAACATGATGTTTTGAAATATATATACATTGGCCGGGCGCGGTGGCTCACGCCTGTAATCCTAGCACTCTGGGAGGCCAAGACGGGCGGATTGCTCGAGGTCAGGAGTTCGAAACCAGCCTCAGCAAGAGTGAGACCCTGTCTCTATTAAAAATAGAAATAAATTAATTGGCCAACTAAAAATATATAAAAAAAATTAGCCGGGCATGGTGGCACATGCCTGTAGTCCCAGCTACTCGGGAGGCTGAAGCAGCAGGATTGCTTGAGCCCAGGAGTTTGAGGTTGCTGTGAGCTAGGCTGACGCCACGGCACTCACTCTAGCCTGGGCAACAAAGTGAGACTCTGTCTCAAGAAAAAAGAAAGAAGGAAAAAGAATATATATACTTGTAGAATTGCTCATTGAGCTAATTATATATATTACTCACCATGCTTATCATTTTTTTGTGGTGAGAACACTTAAAATCTACTTTCAGCATTTTAAGAATACAATACACTGTTAACTATAGTTGCAACATGATGTCTCTTGAATTTATTACTCTGTACAACTGAATTTTTGTATCCTTTGACCAACAACTCCCCAACTCACCACTCCTCCTCCCAGCCACTGATACACAAATTCTATTCTCTGCCACTATAATTTTGATTTTTAGATTCCACATATAAACAGATCACCCGTATTTGTCTTTTTGTGCATGGCTATTTTCACTTAATATAACGTCCTCCAGGTTCATCCATGTTGTTGCAAATGACGTTGCCTTCTTTAAAAGAAGGCTGAATAGATCCTCATTGTGTATATACACACTTTTTCTCTGTCTGTTGCTTGACCTTAGGTTGATTCCATATCTTGGCTATTATGAATGCTGCTGCAATGAACATAAGAGTCAGATATATTTTCACATACTGACTTTATTCCCTTTGGATATATATCCACAGAGTTGGATTGCTGGTCACATGGTAGTTTATTTTTAATTTTTTGAGAACCTCCATACTGTTTTCCATAATGACTGTATAATTTACATTCCCACCAAGTGTGCCAGGGCTCCCTTTTTCTCCATATCCTTACCAACACTTACCTTTTTTCCTTTTGATGGTAGCCATTATAAATGCATGAGGTGATATTTCATTATGGTTTTATTAAAACCAATTTTCATGTCCCTGATGATAAGTGATGTTGAACTTTTTCATATATGTGTTCCCATTTATAGTTCTTCTTTAAGTAATGTCTATTCAAGTCTTTGCCCATCTTTTGATCAGGTTTTTGTTCTTGCTATATGAGTAGCTGGAGTTCCTTATATATTTTTGTATATTAACCTTATCAGATTATGTGGCTTACAAATATTCTTCTCACATTCCATAGATTTCTCTTCACTCTGTTGATTTTTCCTTGACTATGCAGAAACTTTTTAGTTTGATATAATCTCATTTGTCTATTTTCACTTTGTGCTGCCTGTATTTAGGTCATACCTAAAAACAATCATTGCCAGTCCAATGTCATGGAGCTTTCTCTGTGTTTTGTTGTTGTTGTTGTTCTAGTAGTTAAGTTTAAGGTTTACATTTACGTTTTTAATCCATTTTGAGTTGATTTTTGGATGTGATCTCAAAATAGAATCTAATTTCATTCTTTCAGCCTGTGGATATCCAGTTTCCCAACATCATTTACTAAAGTGTTGTGCCTTTCCCATCGTGTGTTCTTTTTTTTTTTCTTTGTTGACAGAGTCTCACGTTTGTTGCCCAGGCTAGAGTGAATGCTGTGGCATCAGCCTAGCTCACGCAACCTCCAATCTCCTGGCCTCAAGCATCCTTCTGCCTCAGCTCCTGAGTAGCTGGGACTACCTATGGCGCTACCATGCCGCGCTAATTTTGTATATATATTTTTAGTTGGCCATTAATTTATTTCTCTTTTTAGTAGAGACCAGGTCGTCACTCTTGCTCAGGCTGGATTCGAACTCCTGACTCAAGCATCCGTCGCCTCGCCTCCACAGAGTGCTAGGATTACAGCGTGAGCCACACACCCCAGCCTCCATGTGTGTTTCTTCACATCTTTGTTGAAAACCAATTGGCCATAAATGTGTGGTCAACTGTATTTTCATGGTGTTATTCCCAGCTCAAGATATGGCTCATCCCAAATATTCGATGAACTATTCAGTCCTGCCAGCAAGATCCCTTCTCTATAATGCACGCTTTCTCCCTCAGGCTAACACAGTCCACTTACATCTCTCACACTCTGTTTACTCACTATCCTGTGTTTCCCTTATGCCACCGCCGCTGCCCACAGTGCTGTCCTGGTCCACTGCCACTGCAAACATGACTGTGTGATACCTCTGCGTCTCGTCTCAAAACAAAGAATACTTAATTCTGCTACCAACGCCACAAATTCTCTCACCAGACTAATTTGGGATCGTTGCTTCCCCCTTATTCAACTCACT